AGACCAACTCAAGTTGCAACCAGAGTCACGGAACGGATTAAGTTCGTAACTAGAGGTACCAGTGTATTTTAGATTTATATCCTGCCTTTGTGAGCGCGCCCATCCCAGTGAATCCAAAGTTCCCAGGGTGCTCCTACCCCAAAAGGAGGCCTATCCTGGCTTAGCATGTTGAACCAAGCCAACAAACATGGCTTAAACAAAACAAGGCTTTGCCTTGTGTCTCAAGCGTGGGGGTCCCACCGAGGAGGCGAGAGGGAGGCAAATGAGATCGACCCTGTGCATCGTGCCATCCTCATGCAAACACTGTCACAATGCACAGGATGACGCTGTGGCTCGTTCCAGATGCCTTCAGTTTGAAAGCAGACTCCGGGAGCTGAGTTCCAGGGTTTGAAGTGGGTGAATTAAGAGCATGTTCCCAGATAGGCCAGACAGGAAACACGACCAGATGAGCTGATTCTACTTTATTGTAAGGCTACGTTAACAGAATCTTGCAAGTCGGAAAGTGCAATTCTCCCGCCGTCCCTTTTACAATGTGAGAAGTTAGGGAGGATCCTTTCTGAGCTTCTTCCTCTGTCCATTATGCAGCTGTGGGCTGCACCACCTCTTATCTGATCCTTCCCTTATCTGATCTCTTCCCCGTCTCCCAACGTCATTCCCGCACGCAGGCACACACTGTCTTCCCTTTTTTTCCCAGGTGAATGACACTGACCCCAGGCTGGAGGATGAGGACAGCTGGATCGGTGTTGTTCCCGTGGAGGAGGAACCAACAGAGACGCCAAAGCGCCACAGGGAGGAATCGTTTGCCAGCGCTGTGGTCAGCAAGGTACAGCTTCTGCGGCTTTCCTTTCTCCTTGACCTGAGTTGCACCTGCTTGTTTCCCTCTCAGTACTTGGACCTTCAGGAGGTGCTGTGCAAGTGGGAAAGATGGTTAGAGATCGCAGCGGGATTTTCATTAGCCACCTTCTGGCAGGCTGGCAGGAGTCAAGAAGCAGAGACGCACGAATCCAGGAAATTGGGGAAGATGATGGACTTGCAGAGATGGCTAAATTGACTTCCTCGATCAGAGAAAAGATTGCCTTTACGGCTGACTGGAAACCCCTTATAGACTTTTTGCATGCATTTATGGCTTGGGGGTTTGATGATTAGGAAAAAATTGGATAATAGAAAAAAGTGAGCTTTTTTTGGTAGTCTGATGGACTTGCAGAGATGGCTAAATTGACTTCCTCGATCAGAGAAAAGATTGCCTTTACGGCTGACTGGAAACCCCTTATAGACTTTTTGCATGCATTTATGGCTTGGGGTTTTGATGATTAGGAAAAAATTGGATAATAGAAAAAAGTGAGCTTTTTTTGGTAGTCATAGAGTAAGATATGATTTAATTGTATTTGCTGCAAAGGCAATCGGAAGCTGTTCCTTTCTTTCTATTCTCTCTTTCACTTTTGCTTTTTCTCTTTTCTTTTTCTTTCGTTGTTTTCTTTATTCTGTATTAGTTTGTGTTAGTTTTTATTTTCTCGGTAAAACTTTAGTAAAATTTATACCCCCCCCCAAAAAAGAATCCAGGAATTTCTAATGAGGAACTTTAATTAATAGAAAAGTTAAGAAGCCGTTATGGAAGAATTCTAGCAACTGCTGTGCATTAAACGTGAGCTCTATTTGTTTGTTATTAGCTTGATTTTATATCATGTTCTTTGCATTTGACCATGTGGGAACTAACTTGTACCCATCTGTGGAAATCCTACTGAGGCTGGCTGGGTGAGACTTGCTTCAGAATAGTGTCAGGTTCTGAAATTCTGTCACTTAATGCCGGAACTTGCCATGGGGAAGTGGAGGAAAGTGGAACAAATGTTGACGTATAATTGGAAAAGATGTCCATTTCTCCTCCACTGGAGTGTCTAGCAGCATTTCTCAACTTTGGCGTCTTGAAGACGTGTGGACTCCAACTTCCAGAATCCCACAGTCAGCACTGGCTGGGGGATCCTGGGAGTTGAAGTCCACACATCTTAAAAGTTGGCGAGGTTGGGAAACGATGATCTAGTGATCATCGGAGAATGTCTGGCAAATTGAAGTGGGTCTTGATGAATGGGATAGACAGAAATCTAAGCAGCAGCTACAATTTATTCCTGTCCTGTTCTTCCACTATTAAGTAGTCAACTCTTCCCAAAGGTTTTCTAGGGGAAAACCTGAGAAGGGTCTTGAT